CACCACCACCACCACCACCACCACCACCACCACCACCACCACCACCACCACCACCACCACCTATCCTTTACTAACTTCCTTTCTGTGGCATCGGTGACGCCACATCAACACATTCTTCCCCACTACCTTCCTCACTCAACGCTCTACCTCTCTTTATCTATCTTCCTTTCGTCTACTCCAAGACTTCATCATCCAACTTCTCCCTTTAGTAACCATGAAGGCTTTATTGCCGCTCTCCTGTTGATCAATGAAAGGAAACTGATGCCCTACGTTGTCTGTCACTGAACCTCAGCTCAATGACCACTCGAAGCCGGGCTTGGATGTAAGTGAGGGTATGCGCTCCACCTTGTCGAGATGTTTACCAATTGTGCATTGACAGGACTCCTTTCTCTGCAATTGTGTTTGAGTAACTTCTTTGATTAATGCGTCCCTGTCCACTCCTTCCCAAAGTCGCTAAACATAACTTTAATCAGCGACGTTTTCCTTCCTTCTTCTCTACTCTTTGCTTACGGTGCCCTTTACAGCAGGGAGCACACAAATGGCCTCAATAACGTTTTCGCTGCGTCCAAAGCAGTCAAGTGAGTTAGCCGAAAAATAAGGATTTCACAAATCGGTAGGTGAACACGACTTTTGAGGGAAAATAATTGCGTTTGACCCTGGTTTCCTTAATTCGTTGACTAGGATAATTAAGTCTGCTTTTTCAGCCACTTAATTGTCGAAATTTCGTTTTAAAAGAAAAATGAAATAAAATGGCTTTCCACGAACACTAAAACTTGGCGGCAAAAAAGGAGATGCTAAAGGAATAAGCTTTGCTTAAATTATTAAAATGGGGTAGCGAAGGCACAAAATTAGCAAAGCGAAGTGGATTAACCGAAGCACCAGACGCCAAGTGTTATCACCCTCAATTAAGACTGTCATGAAGGCGCGATTGTTTATTTGGAGGAATTTAAAAAACTCCACAACGAGAACAGGTGGCCATGCGTTGTCTCCAGAGTGTTGATGAGACACACTACACAAAAAACCAGAATGAGACGTATGAGTTGGTGGGTGTGAGGTGGGATTGAAGGGAGGCTGCACATCTACTAAATGCGACATGTGCACTGAGGTGTTTTGGACGGTGTGATTGGGCAAGAGGCGGATTGGTGGTGGAGTGGTGGTGGTGGTGAAGGGTGTTGGACGTGAAGGTGATGGAGGGGATGCGACACACTGTTCTCTCCACTCAGATAGTGCAGTCAATTGAGACGGATGGAGAGGGAGACGAAAGCATAACAGAGACGCGAGCAGTGGGACAACCCTCTTCTCATCCTCTCTCCACAATGCTACGGTGTTGTTGTATAGCGTGTGGTGAGAGAGTGTTGGCAAAGGCGGAGTTGGGTGGTTCGAGAGTTGGTGGTCTTGGCGGTGGCTTCTGAGCAGCAAGGAGGAGGTGTGACAGCAGTGCACAATGTCGACGTGGAGCAGATGTTTGGGTGAACTATACTGCGGAGACGCCTGAATGGACGGCGTGGTTCCTCCTCTGGGAGAGCTGCAGTTTCTCACAATTAGAGTGGTTGCTGTTTGTGCAAAGTGGGGCAGCCAGGCACACACAGTCATGACAAGCGGTGCTTGTCGTGAGACGCAGTGGGGCTGTCGAGGTGGCCTCTACTTTGCACTTCCCACTTCCATAAACGGCGGAGTGTCACCTGGTTGCCATGCTCTTGACACGCTGATTGACAACTAATCCGTAAACAGTGACCGTTGGAGATGGCGACGCCACACAGTGAATGGAAGGTATCTATGTGGAAATGCTAAGTTGTCAGTTGTGGGGTGGTTGAGAAATAGTGGTGGTGGTGGTGGTGGTGGTGGTGAAGACGTTGGTCTACTTACTCACTGTGGAGTGTAAAGCAGTGGGGGGTGAGGTGTGTGTGTGTGTGTGTGTGTGTGTGGAGTGTAGGGAGGAGAGGAAGGATCGGCAACGCTTCGAGTGACAATTAGAGGAGTGTCCATAGGTGAAGTAGGTGCTCCGCATAGAACGAGTGCGAGCATGCGAGGAGATGATGGGAAAGGTGAAGGAGAGTGGATGCGGTGGGTGGTGAGGTGACGAGGTGACTCGCACCCACCACCAGTCCTTCTGTGTTGAATTGTGACTTCTTCGCTTGCAGAGGTAATTTATCCACCATTATTTATTAAAAGTCTCTCCTTTTATCGTTTCCGTTCCTCTTGTCGTGATGTACTACTGATGGGACAATGTTGGCATTGAGTTGAACAAAAGTGGTGTGGATGACATGCGTTAGTATTAAACGTCAATTAACGCTTCCAACAGAGTGCGCGCCATTTCGATTTTTGAATTCTCCTGGTCAAATTAACTTCAATGTCGTTAGCAATGTATTTCTCCATGCAATTCTCCACTTTGTGTTTCGGTGAAAGCAACCCTTCATTTAATATATGTCTGAGGTATCAAATGAAAGGCTCAGCAGTAGTTCTGCGAAATGCATTAATGGAAGAGAAAGACAGAAGCGAAAAAGCGTCGCAACGGTGCACAAATTAGCCCTCCTTTATGCTACGCAAAGCTACTTTCGGCAAAGTGATGCGGTGCGACAAAGGAAAGGGAACACACACGCTCACTTTCTCCTCCGTTTACCGTGAAAAAATAGTTGGATACCAATTAAGGCAATATTTCAAGCACAAACAATCAAAGAAGCACAGAAACTTCTCTCATTCGAATCTCTGCCTTTCTTAGTGATTGTATGGCATAAATTTTTGGCACATTGACACCACTTAAATGTGAACATTCAGTGGTCCTCTGTCA